AAAAAAAAAAAAAAAAAAAAACAGCTTCTCCTGGACAGCAGCATGGAAACATGCACTATTGTCGTACGGTCGTACCAACTAATGTGATTTGCTCCTCCACTTGTAGTCATGGAAATATCATACTTTCATATTTAATTAACCAACGAGTTCCTCAGTATACCTTTGTACCTTATTACCCAAAAGCATTCTACACTCTATAAAACAATACTGGAAACCCTTAAGCTGCTTCTTTCACCTAAAAAAATGCAAGAAAGAATCATAGTATCAGAAGTAGAAAAGCATTATAAATTTAAAAAAGAAAAAAAAAAACTGATTACAAAAATAACGTGAAATGATTAAAGAATCTTTCCACTACCAATTCAACAATACTCCATCCAAGATGCTGATTCCTACCGAGCCTCCGCATATTCTGACATGCCTACCTCGACAGCTCCCTCACCGAACAATACCAGTACAAAATTTGATTCACAACAATCAAATGCACCTGATATTCACCCTACTGAAAGATTATTAGAAGGTCTTATCCCAGACTTTATCATGCCTGCAAGAAGATTATCAGCCTCTTCACATTTTCCATCACCCAAAAGCACTTGAATCGTCATGTTGTAACTCGCTGCATTAGGCCTCATCCCCTTTTCATCCATTTCACATAGCAGCTTCAGCGCCTTATACGAGCTGCCTTCTCTGCAGTACCCATAAATCATTGTATTGTATATCACATCATTCGGCTCGACTCCTTTGTTCGCCATCATTTTAAATAATTTCGATGCCTCCCTCATATTTCCTTGGCTACACCACCCATTTATCAAAGCTCCGTAAGTGCAAACGTCTGCAGCTATATTATTTTTCTTCATGTTGTCAAGGACCTGAAGTGCCTTGTCCATGTTTGATCTAGCAAAGAAATCAATAAGTATGGTGTATGTGACCCTCGAGGGGTGAATGCCTCTCTCGTCCATCTCGCGCACAAACTCCATAACCCGTTGAGGATCCTGATTTCTAGCGCATGCCACAATCAATACGTTATATGTGATTATTGAAGGAGACAAACCGAAAGATTTAATATTGTCAAACAAACTTAGAGCTTTGTTTAACTTCCCAGCACGACAGTACCCGTCTATCAACGAGTTCAGAGTGATTATATTCGGGCTCAAACCAAACTTTCGCATGTCATCCACTAATCGATTAGCCTCTCTCATTTCGCTCTTTAAACAGAGTCCCTCGATTAAAATGTTGTAAGTCACAACATTGCTTGTCACCCCTCTATGACTCATCTCGTCAAAGAGTTCAAACGCTTTGTGCATTTCGCCATTTTTACAGTATGCATTGAGTACACAGTTATAAGTATGCAAGTCAGGAAGCACCCCTTCACTCTTCATTCTCTCATAAAGCTCAAATCCGAATTTATTGAAATCTTTCCTGAAAAACCCATTTATCATAACAGTGTATGTGTGTTGATTAGCAACCAAGCCCAGATCACCCATTTCAGAAAATAATTTTTTCGCCCTCTCGACGTCTCCCTTCCTGAAGCAGCCATCAATCAACGTAGTGTACACGACCACAGTAGGACTAAATCCCATTTCACGCATTTCCGTCAAAACTTTGAATGCTCTATCCAAATTCTCATTCTTGCAACAGCCCTTCACTAAAATTCCGAAAGTATATGCATCATATCCAAACCGTCCCTTATTTTTCTCAAAAAGCCACAATGCCTTTTCAAAATCATTGCCTTCTATAAGACTTTTCAGCATTGCATTGAATGTAACTGGTTTCGGCACAAGCCCTTTATCAATCATTTCATCAAACAGGTAAAGGACTCTGCCAGTCGGCTGCTCGGCTTTCACATGAGCATCGATGATGGTTTCATACATGAGGGCTTCCTGTGAATTACGAGTCAAGTCCGAAAGTAGAGATGAAATGGTGAACAGTGGAGACGTGATCTTGCCCGTAAGTAACCGGATGACAAGAGATTGAGCTTGCTGGAGCATGCTGGAAGAGAGAAGGTGGCTGATGGCTATAGATACGGATTGGTGCGTGTGGTCGAGTTTTTCGAGCTCCAAGGGCGAAAAGAGAGAAAGCACTTTCAGAGGTGGGGATTTCAGCACAGTGGGAAGGAGAACAAGCAGTTGATGGTGTTTGGTTCCCCAGTTAGACATTTTCACAAACGGGTTGCGGGCCGATTAAAAAGTTTGTGTTCAAGCCTCAGTTCATTTGCAAATTTGACCACGAACTTTATTCTGTTGTACCTAAATCTGCCCAATAACCAAAACACAGACGATGTATTCAAACTCGTTAATCTAACACAATAAGCAGTTTATACATGCAAGGGTACTTTCGTATATGCAAGCCCTAACGTACAGGGGTGTCGTGCTGTATAGCGTGAGCTGAGAGTAAAGGTGCTGAGAGTGAATGAGCCGTGGTCGCTGGGAGAAGACCTCAATAGTCTTCTCCGATCATCGGAAAAGCAAGGCGGCTCATCTAGAAATCATCATACTAGAGCGGGAGTGGATGTTTGAGAATTGCTTGGAAGAAGTTCCCACGGACGGTACCAAATTCACGTGGTTTCCGGACGACCTTTCAGAGAAATTGGATCGCTTTCGTAGGCACTCGTAGGACTATATAGTCCGTCGTCTTGCAGGTATGGCGTCGGAGTGTTACACGTGTGTTTTGTATTACAACGGGAACCTATGAACTGACTGAAGTGTTCAGTTCGTACAAAAGAACTAAAACAAAAAATTAAATTACAACTCAAACGCGGAGAGATTTGAGCCGAGGCAATTGAAATCTATCCGCAAGACAAATACGCCCCGTATAGTGCTGACGGGTCAGTACGTAATGTCCCCAAAGATACAACGACTTTAACACTCGGAAGCAGTAGCACACCAGCCTTCAGAGTCCAGTCGAACAAGAATGAAGTCGAGAACCGAGAACTATGATATGATGCGTGAGGCTTTGAGATTATCAGATTGCATGAAAATGTTGTGTATTTTCCACTTGCAGCTCTAAGTCCTATTTATAGGACTTCCACATCTTAAGGGAAACCAGAAGTCATATCTGTCACTTAAGGCAGAGATAATGAGCATAAAACGTTTTCAGGTGTTAATTCACCATTAACCTGGAATTATCACCATTAACTGGTAATCAACACCATTAACACAAGGTCAGGTGTTACATTTCACATGAAAGGTCATGTGTCCAGATCCATTGTACCTG